TCACGTTTTAATGACTCCTACCTCCCAATCTTCTTCAGGGTGTGGTCATCTCTATTGCTTGTTTACCTCTAAAGTCAGGCATACACTATGCGATTTTTTTCAATCGTTGCACGCATCTTCAGCTCACACTGTACGACGAAAACCAAGGTTTCGTCGTACAGTGTGAGTTCACAGCTCACGATGTATGTTCTTACACTATGTGGCCCGTCGCTCTGATGCGCTCTACCTGCTCACACTGTACGTCTAAAATTAATGTCGGACTCAGCTCTGCAGTGAGATGGTGCTACTGAGACTCGTCTATCCGGAAGCCAAACGAGTAGAAGAGGAATATGAAGCTCACAAGAGAGAAACGTGCTGCCTTGGCAATTTGTGCATTTTTGTGCTGAAAGATCTAAAAAGAAAAGACGACGAGGTTTTTGGACAAAGAAATGGCTGAGCAAACGTGGCTACTACGGTCTGTCAGTTTTACACAAAGAACTCCATTTCACTCATTGCACTCCTGCCATGCTTCTGTGTTTTTCTCTGAGAGGAAGAAGAATCATCCTTGTCTGTGAATGCCCACCGAGCGATTCGCCCACGACGGTCGACTGGATTTCAAACATGTTTGATTTTCTCCAGACCTCACGATTCCTGATCAGGAGTTGGTCGTGAGAGGCTGATCGCTTCTCATTACCTCCTGTACACTACATGACGCACAACCAATCGAAAAATTCTCGCACAACTGGGAAGTTGGCCCGAAAAGGGGAAAAAAAAAAAAATCGCAATGTAAACCTGACTTAACCCCTCTTTTCCCTCTATTAATGTGGACACAGAGCTCTGAACAGCTAGCGTCATTATCATGACCTTTTGTGTCTTGTCAACGGTCAATTTCTGAATAAATGTCACGTCAGCAGTCTTCCCTTTCACTCTAGTTAACAGAACTAAATTTGGGGTTTTCATTAGTCATCAGTTCTAATTCAAATCAAGACAAACTCTTGAAATATTACAGTCAGTGTGTAATTATTCTCCAGGTGCAGATTTCATATCATTAAAACACATTACAGTGCAGCATTTTATTGTTTATCTGTCAATTCTTCACAATTATGTTATTCTAATACATTGTCTAAGGTCCATATTTGTGCGACCATTTTGTCTATTATCTTTTGGCTGCTTTGGCAGAATTTCCCCATTGTGGGACAATAAAAGGGTTTTCTATTCTAATGAATGAATAGAACTGAAGTATTACGTTGGAATAGAATCAGTGAAATACGATTAACTTTCATGATGTTCTAGTCACGGGTGACTAAACACAGACATCTCTCACCAGCGGGATAAACTCCTCCAAATAAGTAAAAAGTTCTTAAATAAGTGTATTTACTTTTAATTTGAGTAGATAAGATGATTTGCCAACTGAGTATTTTTTTCTCCTCTTAAAATAAAAGATAATATGCACTTAAAATAAGACCATTCAATAGCAATGGCATTGCAATGTGTCTCATACCTCCTAAATACAAGAAAAAAAATGCACTTATATTAAGAAAAATGACTTTAGATTTTATTATTTTTTCAGTGCAGAGAAAGGTCATTTTTGCTTCTGGTATCCATCATGGTCAGAGTTTAGTCTACATCAAGAGCTTTGACTTTTAGCTCAAGTTCTTCACCACGAAACCAGAGCAAAGCTGGCTTTACTGCAGGCGACTCCACAGATCTATCCGTCCATCTCCTGTTCAACTATCTGTGACCGAGAAACATTAAACTTTTCTGTTTAGGGCAGAGACAGTCACTAGGCTGCAGAACTGTGTGGATGAGCTAATCTTTCAATCAAAACTTCTCGATTCCAGGATTGTAGCCTAAAGCAAACGTTTTATTGTTTAAACAGCAGCAATCACATCGGATCAGACATCAAGAGACTCAGCATGTCGCCTAAAGCTGTAACTTCCTTTATTAGGCTGAATAACAGCTGATTTTGTTGTTAATCAAAAAATAAAAACTATTAAAAGGACAGTAGTGCAAAAGCTGCTGCCCTACAGGTTTACACCATCTTTAGAACAGTTTAATGTCCCTGATGAGCTTTAGAACACAAACGGTGCTGACGCCCCATAAGAGCGACCATGTGAGCTACGGCGGGGCTACATGTCAACATCTTTAACTTTGAACCGCTGATTTTCATTAAAGCGGATGATTAACTGGTAGTATCTAAGAAAGAATAATAAAAATAATAATAATAATACCCCATTCAGTGGGTTAGTAAAACTTAACAGAAATCATATTAAAAGAACACAAGTCATTTACCAGACTCCTAAAGGGGGAGCCAAATAGAAATCTCCTAAAGGAGTCAATAACAGAAGACGCTGGCTGTGTGGCAACCAGAGGCACATTTTGGACTCAGCTCCAATCAGACAGTCTGCTGTCCCTCCTTCAGCTGGTGCTCTCCTTGTTCTCAGTCTCTTCTTTCATTGATCCGTTTTCATCCCCGTTCTCCAACTCTTCCTCTTTTTCCACTGCTGCCTCTGCCTCCTCCTGCTTCTCTTTAGTTTCCCCATCCTTCCTTTTCTGCCCAACGCCCTGCTTGTCTCTGAACACCTCCACGCCCAGCATGCGCAGGTAGTGGAACCGCTCGTTACGGGGGACAAACGCTCGGATGGACGTCTTCCCCCTCCAGCCGCACAGCTGGATTGGACACTGAGGCTCAGAGGGGTTACTGTCAAACAGAGGGAGAGGTGTAAGCACCACAAAGCAGAAGGTCACCTCAGAAACGTATAAAAATGAACAATGAATGAAGTGGATTTAAGGGCTTACTTTGGGTTTGGGAGGTACTTCAACACTATGCTGCCCATTCCTGTGGAGACAGATGAAGATTACATCTAGAGCTGCTCTATCAGCCTGGAAACATGTGATTAGGACTAAAGGGTAGATTCATTTACACATCAGCAGGTTTTTGATGTGGACTATGGAGGGTTGTTTGTTCCATTATTACAAGCTAAAAACACATTTTGTAAATAGATGTTGGAAAGAATTGCAATCCAGATATGAACAATTTAAATACGTTTGCTCTTTTCTCCCATTTGCATTTACTTATTCTATTACTCAACATTTTTTTTTACATATTTCTCTTATTCAGATTGAGTTCAGTACAAAGTGTTGTTGTTTAGATGCACATTGACCAATAGATTAGTTAAGGACCATGCAAACCAATAGAAATACGTGTTTGCTCCTCACTCCAAATGAACACCGGATCCCAAAAGAGATTTTGATGTTTGAAAATAAGGTTCATATAACCGTCATTTAAAAGAGTAATTTGAAGAGAAAAATATGTTAAAAGTAAAAATAAATAAAAAAGTTTCTAAATTTATCATTTCTGAATTGAATTTTTTTTAAATGTTTATATCCAAAACATGCTCTTATTTTGAAACTATAGCTATGTTAACACAGCAGCCTGAAGTGACCAAAATCCCATTTTTTTTGCCGCTATGCGGCCTGTATCTGATCTTTTCATGGCAGTCTGAACAACAGATCCGATTTTTCCAATGCGACCCAGACCACACGACTATGTGACTCTGAATCGGATCTTTTCAGCCACGTCGCATTCATCCGACCTAAATGTCATTAACACTCAACAAAGGTCACTATTCTGCGCCTTGCTACGCAGAAGCAGGAAGAAAATCAACAACTATG